TAGTGCATATATATCAATAGAAAAACATGGAAGAAGGTACCTTCCTATCTTGCTGTTTCTTTCAAATGCTTATGTGGTTTTCAACTTCACTTTAGACTTGTCCTGGGCTTGACCAGTATGCCATCAAGAAGTTTGCTGAAGCATTTGAAGCCATTCCTCGCGCACTGGCAGAAAACTCTGGCATAAAGGCTAACGAAGTCATTTCCAAACTTTATGCTGTGCATCAGGAAGGCAACAAAAATGTTGGCTTTGATATTGAGGTAAGTAGTTCCTCACATTACTTGCTGCTCAGCAGTACTGGGTTATATTTAAAAGTACTTCTATTGCAGTAAGTATTTATAGATTAATTCATTTCATTGAAGCTCTGTGTTTCACAGAGCTAGTAAAATACTTCTAATAGAATTCTAATACTGAAGTTTTTTTGATCAGCAGGCAGTTAAAGCGAATGTAGTATAGCAGCCTCATGTAGGAGGCGGAGAGAGATACTGAACTAGTATGTTAAAGAACAAACATGTTGTTTACTTATTTTGACTTCCTGCTAATGGATTAGAAATGAAAATCTTGTAAAGAGAGAAAACAACATCAGAAAAGTGATACTTCGTTGTAACCTTCAAAACCTAATAACTTGTTAGGTAGAAGCCTGAGAAAACTTAAAAATAAATAAATGAATTCTTCCTGTCTGATAGGCTGAATCTGCTGCCGTGAAGGATATGTTGGAAGCTGGTATATTAGACACATACATTGGAAAATCCTGGGGTATCAAGCTGGCTACAAACGCAGCAGTAACTGTCCTACGGGTCGATCAGGTAAGTGTAGAAATAATTTGGGTGATAAACTGAAACCTCTGCTTTAACTCAAGGTGCAGAGCACTTGTAAAGCATGTGAATGGTCTGGGAATACTGGGCATAAAAATCAATGTTGGAATCTTAGTTTAGAACTAAGTTGACTACAAAGTAGTTTCCTTGGGAGCTCATATTTTGGAATATGAGTTCAATACTGCTGCTTCCATACAAGTGCTGTAATGTTCATTTTTAAAGATCTGACAATGATAATTGATACCCACGGACAGAAAGGAACCTTCTGTAGGAACAAGGCTTATCACAACAAAACCTTCTGATGTATATTGGTTTGTATTATTTTTAACATGAAAAATCCCACTTAAGTAAAATGGGGGTTAAAATCTTAATGGCAAAAATCTTTACATATTTTGTGGAATTCCAGTGAACGTGTATTTGCATGTAAAATTTCTGTAGATTATTATGGCAAAAACAGCAGGCGGTCCAAAAGCTCCTAAACAACAAGGACATTGGGATAAGGATGACTGGAAAGATGAGCCTGAGAAGTAGTATGCAGTAAGCTGGTTCTATAGCAGTGATCAGTGTGCGAGTGCATGCATGACAATCACGTGTGGCAGATCTGTGTTTTCTTGAGGGCACATAACACAGCTGGTCTATTGCTGATTGCTAAGTTTCTTACCAATTCCACTGCAAGTTAATCTTGTTCCTAAAACCGAACTTTCATTGCAGTTTGTTTCATTGTACTCACAAGTTCAGTTTTAGCTTTGTCACTGTAACAAGTGCAGAAATGAGCCTCTAACAAGGTAGGATTAGTGGGCTAATTAGGCCTTAGAAGTGTGATGTCTAGGCTGGAGTTCAGAACAACAGCTCTGATAATTCTGCTTTCTGTTGTATGCACCCTGTGCAGCAGTCACTGGCTAGTTTATTTAAGCACTCACCTTTCCTTAGACTAACTGAAGTCACAATTTGCATGCAAAAATGAGGTAAAAGTCCTTTGTATATCAGGGCTCAGTTTCTGCCATTTTCAACCAGATGTATAATATTAATCACTGGTTTAGGTTCAGAGCAAGGAATCTGCATGATTTAGTGATTGTTGTCAGTCAGCATCAATGACTATAAATAAGATGTGTGGGGAAATGATTCTAACCTTATCTTTTTCTCCTTCCCTGTCCCCTTCAAGATCATTATGGCAAAACCAGCAGGTGGCCCTAAGCCTCCATCAGGAAAGAAAGACTGGGATGAAGACCAAAATGACTGAACAATTTAACTGTGCTTTTGAAGTTACATGATTGAGAGTTTTTTAAGGTTCCGCTTGGGGCCTGTCATGATGGTTTGGTCCCTTTAAGTTATGAACTGCGTCCACTAGGATGAAGAACTTTGAACACTTCAATAAATGTACTTACTGTTAAAATGTTTGCTGTCGCTTTATTTGGACTTGGTATGACATGTTTAGTCCCAGTATGTGAATGTGCAGGGACGTGCTGTGTTGGGATGAAAGTGGGTGGGGTGGGGTGGGGTGACCTTAGCTGGCTGCTAGCCACCCACCCAGTTGCTCTCTCATTCCCCCTTTCTCCACAAGATAGGGGAAGAAAAGATAAAAAGCTTGTGGGGGTATCACTGAGAGTTACAGTCTTGGGAATTATGTGATGAGGGGAGTGGTGAAAAGCAAACTAAAACATCTTTCCCCTACCCCATCTCTCCTTCCTGAGTTCAATCTCATTCCGCACTCTTCTGCCTACCCGGGGCGGAGAGGATGAGGAGTGGGAGACTAAGGTTGTAGAATGGCTTGGGGTGGAAGGGACCTCATCTGCTTCCACCCACCCTGCCATAGGCAGGGATGCCACCCACTGCATCAGATTGTTTAGGGCCCCAACCAGCCTGACCTCGAACACCCCCAGGGATGGGGCACCCACAGCTTCTCTGGGCGGCCTGTGCCAGTGCCTCACCACCCTCATGGTAAAGAATTTCCTCCTTGTATCTAATCTAAATCTACCCTTTTTTAGCTTAAGACCATTCCCCTTGACATACCATTACCTACCCAGTAGGTAATTCTCTTTTTTTATAAGACCCCTTTAAGTACTGAGAAGTTGCAATGAGGTCTTCTGTTCTCCAGGATGAACAGCCGCAGCTCTTTCAGCCTTTCTTCATAACAGAGGTGCTCCAGCCCTCTGGACCCGCTCTGACGGCTCCATGTCCTTGTGCTAGGGGCCCCAGATATGGATGCAGCACTCCAGATGGGGCCTCACAAGGGCAGAGCAGAGGGGGACAATCACCTCCTTGGACCTGCTGGTCCCTCCTCTGTTGATGCAGCATAGGATGCAGTTGGCCTTCTGGGCTGTAGGCACACTGCTGGCTCATGTCGAGCTTTTTGTCCACCAGAGCCCCAAAGTCCTTCTCCACTGGGCTTCTGTCAATGAGTTCCTCTCCCAATCTGTGCTCATCTCTGGGATTGCCCCAACCCAGCTGCAGCACCTTGCGCTTGGACTTGTTGAACCTAACGCAGTTCACATGGGCCCACTTCTCCAGCCTGTCCAGGGCCCGGTGGATGGCATCTCTTCCTTGGGTCAGCCCCATACATTTATTCCGTTACCCCGCTCCCCAACCTTTTCCCCTGCTCTAGGATCCATCCCATGGGTAACAGCTGTTCAGGAGCTGTTCCAGAATTTATGGACCTTGATGAAAAATTGCTCCAGCAATTTTTGTTTGTCCCTGTCCACTGAGGGCAGTTTCTTCAGGGCACATCTGTCTGCTCCAGAGCCTGTGCACCTCCTCTCCCCAGGGTGTCCGTAGGGCCGCTCCTCACACTGCTCCCCTCACCACCCCCTGCCCTGCAGTGTTTGCCCTCCCTTCCCCAGGCTGCCCTCAGGTGAGGTGCGGGGCCTGGCCGTGCTAGGGCAGCCCTGGCATCACCTCACACTGTGGCTCCTGTTACCTGAGCTGGGTATGGGGGTGAGCGACCGTAAGCTTGTTGCAGGGAACAGGCATCTATAAAAACTGTACCTCACTGGGATCCTTACCAGTATTTGAGTGTAGATAGTCAAATGAGTTTTGAAATAATTAAAAACAGCAGCCAGGCTGTAGTCTGTGCCTAAGTTCAGTGTTACATCATGCATCTGTTGTGTCCTCACACTTTAAGAGGCTCTAAACTCTCAAAATTTTTGTCAGTCTGACACTGGTGAAATGCTTCTCATCCTAATAGCCTTAGAAATAAGAGCAGAGAGTGTTAGCTGTTGAGAACTGTCAAGCACATCATTTGCAGAGCACTGGAAATCTTGCATGCACTTAAGGGGAAAAGCTGAAGCCCTGTGTTAAGATTCCTTGTGGAAAGCAAACAGCTCATGTATCTCAGTCACTTTAAAGAACTGTGCTTGAAATTCAAGCCACTTAAATAATTAATCCTTTTATTACTTGCCAGTGCTACTCCATTTCACAGCCAGGAGGGAGTGGAAGGCTAAATCAAGTCCCGAACTATCGTATGCCTAAATAAGGCTGCTGTACAACATCTACACTACTGCTTGCTTTATGGCTAGTAGCTGGCATGGTTGAAAAACTCAGCAAGTTTTCTGAAGGATTGGCATACTGATGAGTCAGCTGCACAAGTGCTGCTGCTGCTGACTTTAAGGGTAACAAGAACACATAAGGATACTCATTTTCTTAGTAAGGGTGTTGTGAAAAATTCATTGAATGAAAACAGCTGCTGCCTTAGCACAGGCAGCCAGAATTTTATTTATGTGAAACATTGCATGAAGCCTAGCCTGTGGAGAAGAGAACTTAAAAACCTCTAAGAATGCTGGTCCTCCAGTGACTTAACCCTCTAGCACAAAAAGGCTGAACTGGAACACCTGTACTGAGAGGGAGAGAGCCAAGTTCTTAGCCCCATCAAAATACCAGTGAGATTCCTATGTACAGAATTCTCCAAGTTTCCAAATTGAGGGTTCCCACATAGAAAATAAACCAACAGCAGAAAGATGGCCGATAACTGCATTTGTCTCAGCTCTGTGAGGTGTAGAAAGAAAGAAGTGTGTTCTAAGTGTAAGAGGCTCTAAAATACATACAGATGTAACTGAGCCAATTAGTTCAAAATTATTACTGGTCACTGTAAAGTGAAAGAATTGCTGAAATGTACAGCACTTGCAAGAGACTAAGAAAGCAGCAGTTGCTTGCCTGTAGCACCACACACATTACTCACTAGAAACCTGAAGCTGTAATTTTGAAAAAAGACTTTTATTTAAAAGTAGTGAAAACATTGGAAAAAGTATAAGTTAACCATTTGTCAGTGTGTTTAAGAAGCACAAAGTATATTCTTGTAGTTAGCCCCAACATGTTAACATGATTTGCAAGTTCCTGCCTTCTTTCAGGCTGTTTAAGATGGATGCAAGAAGGTTTCTCTGATTTAGAGCAGTCGCTCATAGAACAGGAGATAGGCTTGTGAACTCAGCACTTTTGATAGAGACACAGCTTGTACGTGGGTATCACTGATGTGGAACCACTGTCCTTTTACTGGTTCAGTTTCTAAAGCTGTCAAGGAAGAATTTAGGAGATAAAGTTATTACTAGGAACTGAAGTACTTAATCCTGTTACTGTTTGGCAGTAAGAAGTAATTTGTAAAAATACTTGTAATTATTTACCTTCAGGAGATTGTCCTTTAAGGACAAGATCAGAGAGATGTTTGTTCATATTTCTCATTTTAGCATAAGCAGTGTAGTGCCCAGACCTCATCGTTCCACTGTGCTCAACAACTCCATAGAGAGAGTATAATACTTTTGTACTCCCTTCGGCCACATTCTGTAAAAGTGAAAGTTATGGTACATGTATGTCAGTCAGGGACTGGATTCTAAACAGGCTAGAAAGTAAACACTTCTATTTGTTTGCCAGTGAAAGGGAAGTTGTCATTACAGGTCCATGCAAGGTGCTACAACTGTAATCAATGGAAATACACTGAGAGGCTCAAGTACAAATTGCACTTCCAATTTGTATTAGCACACAATAACGTGATGAGCATTCTACACAGATTCTGCTAAGCAGCTTAACTGTGAAAGCATATTAAAACATGGGAAAGGAAAATTTGACTGTTTTTCCACTTACTTTACATTTAACTGTACAGAAAGGAGCCAAGTCAATCACTTCTGGAAACTTGATATGCCTGTTAACCTTCCGTAGATTAAATCCAGCCTTAGACATGAAGGAGAGGAAAAATCCATAATGTTAAGTGTAGCACATTAAAACCATCAGGTACTATGTACTCATGTAACTATGAAGAGATCTCTTACTTTTTGGACACTGTAGCATGCCTGATGATCTAATTTTAGATTGCCAAAACTGACAAAACTTCTACTCTCACCTTACTCAAATAATCTTCCAGTAACAAACTGGAAAAGCAAAGTAAGAGATGACAAATATTTTTTCCTTAGTTGTATGAGTCTCTTGAAATATCCTACACATTTCATTTTCTCTGTGGAATGCTTTTCATCTGCTAAGTTACCTCCCTTATTTATTTATTTTAAGCATTTCAGTCAAAATACTTAATGGCTTTAAACTGAGAAAAGGCAATGCTGTCTCCTAATCCTATTTATTTTCTATCTTTCTTCTTGAAAAGTTAAAGCCCTAAATTTAAAGTTTTTCAAGAATTTGAGGAAAAAGGTAAGTCACGTCACTTTGGTGTCTATAAATAAGACTTCAGTTGTATTGTTTTCCATTCAACTTGCCTTTTTGTTAATTCATTTAGTAAGGAATCCTATTCTATCTGTATGGAAATGCAAGAGTTAGGAATGGATGTAGATGCAGGTAACAATGCTAACATACTACTTAATACAGTAAGTAGTAACCTCAGTGAAGGAACACATTTCAAGTAAGCTCCCAAAAAGTGTTGCCTCAATTATTAATAGAACATTTTTTTTTTTCCCCTGGAAATGAACGCCCCAGTCCCTACCAATCACAAAAAGAAAACACAAAAACCTACCAAACAAAAACAACCCTGCACACAACTACCTCCCAAGTGCTGAGGAAAAAACAATAAAATAAAATAAAAAGCAGGCTTATAGGAAAATGGAAACGTGCTAACGTTAGATTTAAGTTAAGCTATATGCATATATATGTATTGGACACACACTTTTTTTTTTTTTTAATAACAACCTGTTTGTTACCTGTTGAAATCTTTTTAAGTGAAGAGTTAAAATTGGAGGAGCAAGAGAGATTAGCATTTGCTTTTTGGCATTAGTATAAACATACTTCTTTTCACCTGTAGAACAGAAAAACCATCAATTAATTTCTAAAGAAATGTTACAGCACTAATTTATTTTCACTATTTATACTGTTACAATGTCATCCGCTATAGTGAATGAGAAACTGAACATTCCCCTTTAACACGAACTGTGAAACTGCCATCCTGCAGCTCCCATATCACAAAAGTAGCTGCTCACATCACGTCTAAGCAGCATCGGCAAAAGCAGGATGAATTCTCACATGCTCTCTACAACTCAGAAACTGCATGTAGCTTTCTTCCACTGGTCTTCTGAGCAAACATCAACATGATTTCCCTATGACTGTTACAAGAGAAGTTTCATATTTGAGAAAGGAACAGAAGTCATCTGGTAAATAACCACTTTCTACATTCATCCACAAAATGAATTTCTAGATTGCAATGACCGCGCTACCCCAAAACCCAAACCAAACCCACTCCTCTCTGACCATTCTTCTGTTCTAGTCATTATTCTGTACACAAGCTTGTGAGCCCATTATTCTGCTCAATTAAGAATTTGTATTAGCCTGTGTAGAAGAGGTTCTCACAACCTGCACAATAAACACTGTTCTACTGATACATGCTAAGTTTGAAGTTACATAAATACTGTTTTAGGAACAGCCCCATCAACCACCCAAGCACTATATAGTAATCGGCTCTCATATGGGTTCCTAAATTTATTAAAAATAATAAAAAAAAAAAGATAATTTATCATACTTTTCATGTTCTTTGGTCCACAATGTCTCTGCGTACATACATCACATAGTAGTTTATTCTTCTCACTAAGTTTCTCATTATGGGTAAATTGATACAAACAGTGATGTATTGAACCTTCTTCTGGGTTCAGGTCTTCCCTGTTTGCAAGAGTACAAAATGCCATTTCGGGATCTTCCGTCAGTACTTCACAAGTTTGAAGGTCATTTAAGATGCTCATATCCGATTCAACATTATCACTCAAGTGTATTTTTGAGAAGTCAGTAGCAAGCCCTTCCTCATCTTCATTTTCATCATCCTCATCTTTCAAAGATAGGTTGTCAAGGCCATTGACAAGCTTCACAGGAGAATCTAAAGCTTCTGTAGGGAGATCCATGAGAGACTCCTTTTCTACACACTCTTGTTCTGGTTTTCCTGTATTTTCAAGCATATTCTGAACTTCTCTTTCAGTTCCCTCTATACTTAAGTCTTCGTGAGTTAAGCAGTGATCTTTGCAGTCATTTGATGACTCCTCTTCTTGCTTCACATCAGGAGTTTCAGAGTTAATATCTGCCTCTCTTTCCTGGTTATATTCTGCATCTTTTTCTGACTGTTCAGTAGCACAGATATCTGCCAACTGAAGTACTTTTCCTTGGAGCTTCTGCAGGCGGCGCTGGCTCTGCAAATTGGTAGATAGAACGTATAAGCATATAAAAAGTTTCGATGATATTAAGCATTTTCAGCCATTTCTTTATCAAATTATTTGTTGTATGTCATAGGTGTCAAAGGGGGAAGTTATGATTTCATAACCTGAGGTCATCAGTTTAACTAACATTGAATTTACCCTTGCTCAGATATAGCCCCCACCACACCTCTGAATATTATCTTATTCCTATCATGGCAACTATTATCAGAGCATGTAACTTCTTCATAGCTATAACATACATACAACTGATCGTCATGGTTGTGCATTTGACAGAGGAAAAATTCTAAGCCATCCCCTCCTCCTCTGTCTCAACTGAGGAAGCAAAAAGAATTTATTTTTTTACCATAAGTTGCAAGTGCTTTATTAATATAAGTAAAATGGTTATCAAAACCAACCTTGGCTTGTTTTTTGGCCAGTTTCTTTGTTTTTTTCTGAAGGTGCTTACTTGTACCAAGGGGCTCATCTTTCTGTTTAATGTAACAGCCATCATTTTTATCCTCTTCTTCACCTTCAGATTCCTTCTCTTTGTTTTTTTTAGCATTTCTCTCATTTGTATTTTTTGTTTTCTACACACAAATAAAAAAACAAATAATAATTAAAAAAACACAACCACAGAAATAGATATGTTACTGTCCTGAATAACAACATAGAATTTCAGAGAAAACTGCAGGGATGTTATCTGAGTTTTCAGCTCAAAATACAACATTTCACTGACTGTAACGTATGCCTAACACCCTAATGCCCAAAAGGGTCATCTCACTCCAGAAGGAGTCCACGTGAAACAGTATCAAAAAGTATGCCTATCAAGGCTGAATTCTGAACATATAAAAAGACATTTATCTGTTAGAGGCAAAGGTAATCTAATTAAATTCACTGAGGAATAGTATTTCATTCAAGTGCAGACATTTTCAGTTGAACTGTGCGCCGTATAATTTGTAGTACTGTCCTTTATTTGCTTCTGTTAAAGCAGAATTTGTTCATTGCAGACGACATGAACCCTTTAGTTGAGGGGATTTTATTTCAAAAAGCATTCCTTAGTTCTTGTGTGAGCAGTGCTACATGGCAAATCTGACATACTATATATGCAGATTGCCAGTATGAAACCCAGAGAAATCAATTTTTTGAGTGTCAGTTTTTGAGATCAATCATGTAAACCAAAACAGATCAACTTACACGAATAACTCTCCTGAAAATCTTATTTTCTACCTTTTGGGGACAAGTTTATTATTTTAACTTCTGAAACGCACATTTAGAAAGCTGCATACATTAATTCCCTCCTGATTATAGAATAAAGGTAGTTTTATTTGCTTATATGAAAACAAGTCAGAAATAAAACACGTACAGTTTCTTACCTGATCATCTGGTACAGGAAGTGACAAATCAAGGAAAGATTCATGGACCAAGGACACCTTTAAATGAACATTAAACAGTCCAATTTAATTTTTTGGAATTGGCTGGCTTGCTGTCAATAGGCTTATCTGTACGTATCTTCGTTTGCATTCAAAGCATTCTTCTACTTGAGCGTACAAATGTAAAACAAAGCTGTTGGTAAATGTAGATAACTACTCATGACCAAAATCTACCAGTCACGTTACTCCAGAAGTAAGAAATGGTTTCCCAAGTTTTGGTTTTCTTGTAGCCTAGCACATGGGAACCCAATTTAGTGCCTATGGGATTGATTCTGTGATCAACTGGGATATTCATCTAGCCCACTCACTAATATCTGTAATTAGTTTGTTCTCAGGATGCATTATCCCTGCAGTGCCTTCTTCCTTATTTATTTCCTCACAACCCCACAATCATTCCCATGTGAAAAATTGAGACCTAATAGTCTGAGGGAAAAAGAGAGTTCCCAGCAGCATTCTGCTTAAACAGAACAATTCATCCACTCTACAGTTGGCATCACTGGAAGGTGTTCACCAGGAATCTGAGTAATTTTTTTTTTTGGCAGAGGCAGATTGCTAATGCTGCTGCCCTCTTTTTTATGGAACTCTTTTGAAAGGAACTGGAAGATTTTCTTCCCTTATGCTATAAAGGAAGATTCCAGCCAAACCATGCCCCTCTTCAAAAAGCATGTAGCTAGTAAACTCAGAAACATTAACTGAAGCAACTCTCTCTAACTCCAGTTATTTCTACAAATAGTTACTCTGGAGTTCTGTGGATTACATAAAAACATGCTCTTGGGTATTTAAGGCAGGCAGTTTACTTACTGTTTTGCATTCCTCACACATAATCGTACTGGTTAATTCTCCACCAAAGATTCGATCTATGAAACTTTTCATTCCCTTTTTCTTCTCATATTCTGAAAATTGACAAAGTATATAGTAAAGTTAGTAATATTGCGTATAATATATAATTTAATGATAACATACCAAATTAAAAATGCAGTATGTAAAACATACATAGCATGTGTCAGTGCCTGTTCTAGTTTACTTAGGAAGTACAGCAAGATTCTTAATTTAAGATCCTTTTATATATTAAAGGTATGGGTGTGAAAACACATTTACAGAAGACACTTTGACTGAACTGACAACTTCACTGCTTTCTGAAGTCAAATGCATTTTTTATTTTCTTAGAACTACTATATCCCAGTAGGAGTTCCTGTTTTCTCCCCGGATTTAACTCAGACAACTGTCTGAAGCTAATTTCCTCAAGTTATCTCTCCCGTGTAGCACATACTCTGCACTTAAACTTGCTCTTCATCTTCTAACCCAAGTCATGTTGAAAAGTTTAAACATTCTTCTGTTCAGTGTTGTGTGTTTTTTTTTTTTTAACAGCAATAAAAATCCAACAAACTTGTTTTTGACAGCACTGATGAGTAATAATGAGCTATAAGGATTGAGCAAGTCATTACATTCATGTGCTAATATCTTAACTTCTTTCATAGTATTTGAATAATTAAAAACTACCCAAACATCTTTTAATGTATAATAACTGTAGAATCAACTCTCTTTTACTCTTATTATAAAAGATATGTCACTGAAGTCAGTAAAACCTTTAAACAGAATATTTAACATTTACAAGCCTTATGTTCTAGATACATACATATTCAAGATGTAGCATAAATCTGCTTATTAAATATGTATCTTTTAGTCATAACTGTTACCACTAGTTTGCCTACTTGAATGGAAAGAAAAATGTACAGTTATCACATCATCACTGACACGTATTTTACCTTTAATTTTTGTTTTCAGTTCTTCTTCATTTTGTTTGTTAGAATCGGTCAGGGCCTTCAGTATTCCAACACTTACTCGCTGAAATTTTCAGAACAAATTGACATTGCACAATTTCTTAAACTAATTCAGTTAGCTTTACAAAATGATTCACATGGAGAAAGAAAATCTTTAGTAATTAAGAAAATCAATACAAACAACACAACTGCCTACAAAGATGCAACAGTTCTCACGTTTTGATATTAAAAAAAAGCCAACCAATCAATAAATACACCATAATATTACAATTAGTATTTAAGAAATATTTTAACATCTTTATGTTAAAAGACTTCCAACATCTTTGTTGTCAGCATGGACAGTGGGATGAAGTGTAACCTCGGCAAGTTTACTGATGACACCAAGCTGTGTGGTACAGTCGACACGCAGGAGGGAAGGGATGCCAGCCAGAGGGATCTGCACAGGCTTGAGAGGTAGGCACGTGAGAACCTCACGAGGTTCAACAAGGCCAAATGCAAAGTCCTGCATCTGGGCTGGGGCAATCCCAAGCACAAACACAGGCCGGGTGAAGAATGGATTGGAAGCAGCCCTGAGAAGGGCTTGGGGATTCTGGTGGATGAGAAGCTTGACGTGAGCCAGCAATGTGCACTTGCAGCCCAGAAAGCCAACTGTATTCTAAGTATCCATCAAAAGCCAGCAGGGAGGGGGAGGTTATTCTCCTCTCCTCTGCTATGCTCATATGAGACCCCACTTGGAGCACTGTGGTTCAGCCCTGGGGCCCCAGAAGAAGAAGGACATGGACCTGTTACAATGAGTCCAGAGGAGGGCCATGAGGATAATCAGAGAACTGGAGCTCCTCTCCTGTGAAGACAGGCTGAGGGAGCTGGGCATGTTCAGCCTGCAGAAGAGAAGGCTCTAGGGAGACCTTACAGCAACCTTCCTAAAGGGGGCCTACAGGAAAGCTGGGGAAGGACTCTTGATCAGGGAGTACAGATACTCTTGATCAGGGACTGCAGTGATAGGACAAGGAGTAATGGATTTAAACTACAAAAAATAAAGTTTATATAAGATATTAGGAAGTTCTTTACTATGAGGGTGGGTGGTGAGGCATTGGACCAGGTTGCCCAGAAAAGGTAAGGTCTCCCCGGAGCTTTCTCTCTGTGAATCCCTGGAAGTATTCAACACCTGCTTGGATGGGGCTTTGGGCAACCTGGTGTGGTGGGAGGTGTCCAGGCCCATAGCAAGGGGCAGGGATGAAATACTTCTCAAAATTAGATCTGGACAATTAAAAAAAAAAAAAAAAAAAAAACACAAACAAGAACACCATGGGATTCCCACAAGTGTTCTTTCAGACTTTTCAGAAACGAACACAAAAGGATGTGATTTAGGATGACTGCACATGCTCCAACTTATTATTTCTGTAGTTTTGGACAAGTCAATCTACTTCCTGAAGGTCAACAGACATTTATATGAAAAATGTAAAATCAACCAAAGACCCTTTAGAACAAAACTGAACCTTTATACATGATTTTACTAGAAGAGCATAGAGAATAGCCAGTATATTGCTTTCCAGAAATGCAGAAAACACCATTGCTTTTGAAACTTACGCAACAAGGGCAATCTTTAATAGATACAGGCCAAGAACAAATTTCTTTCTTTGAATATTCTTTTGTAAAATTAAAATCACAATACTTGTGGTTGCTCCTTTGCAACTGTACTACTCAGAGGTTGTCACATGCTACACTTCTGTTGTAATATGCTGCAAGTGCTTATGGGCAGCACAAAGCACTCTACAAGGGGTTGACTTGTCTGAGAAAGAATGCTTTTTCTCCCCTCAGATGGGGAGAAAGTCTTGGTCTGGGGTACGAGGAAAGGTATAGGCAAGTGTGGAATTACACTCACTTGGATTTCTTCTGCTCTCATGCCATCAAGTAAGTAACGAAGCAATTCTTGACTGTCTTGCTGCTGATAACCTTTAAATCGTATTGCTCTGTTAATTGAAGTGTAAATTGATAAATGAAAAGCATAATTAACCTTAGAGATAGACAAAGTAAAAAACAATTCATTCCAAACATACAGAAACAGTCTCAAGCATTCATGTATATAAGAGCAACAAATGTAGTACAGTATTTCTAAAAATGTAAGGCTAGACAATCTGAGCATATCACTGGGTATCTTTCATTTTACTTCTATTCACTTATATTTTGGCTCTTTATCCTATTTTTTTTTCCAAAACTTTTTACTTATTATGGAAATTTTACATGCTGTGATGTGAGATCAAGAAAAAGAAGAAAACTGACCTTTGTTTAAACAACTAACATTTTTTTTTCCGTACTCACTATACCATGCAATTATACAGATACTCACTTTTTACAAACCTGAGCAAAAAGTTCCTTAGGGGTAACCACCCCTTTCTTTGTCTCTTGCATTTCTGTCAGGAACTGATGCATGGCTAACGTCAAAGGACCTGGCGGATCTAGTTTTATTAGCTGAGGTTCCTGTTTTAAACAAAAGCAATAGAATTGTTTGGCCTTAATTTGATGGCAGATCCTTCTAGAATTAAGTTTTTCCTTGTCTGAAACTCCAAACTGACTAAATTCCAAAATTGCAGTATATTAAACTAACAAAAAACAAACAAGAAATGGTTTCTCATCACACAATATCAAAACACTGGGCTAAGAGTCCTTACCTATTTCTTGCTTAATTGCAACTCTGTATTTCTTGCTTTTAGTCAGGAAAATACTACAATTTCTTAGAATGCACAACCCTTCTTTCCCAGCCAAATCTCTATTGTAATGATACATGCATTATTTAAGTTAGTGCTGAAGACATCCTCTAGTTTCCTATGTTGCATTTAGACAAATTACACTGTATCAAAAGTTACGTATTTTCATCACTTTAGAACTGAAAGGGCACTACTGACTTCAGTAGTAGGTCTATTAAATTCAATGGTGAAATTCCCACCAATTTTACATTTTCAACACTAACAACGTAAAACATTTTAAGTTAAACAGCTTTAAAATACAGAGTATTGTTTGTTTCTTTAACAGAATCAGGGAAAAAAAAAAAAACAAAAAAAAAACACTATGGAGGCTGAAGCTTATATACCATAGATAATTCAGGTGACTCAATTTTAACTGTCGTGTCAGGCATTTTAGCTTCTTTGAGCAGCTCCCTCAGGACTGGAGTTTGTGATAAGTTCTGTAGAAGAAAAAAGACAGACAAAGGATTGGTAGCCAGGGAACAAGACGATGGGCAAAGGAGCTCCATTTGCCATGAAATTTGTGGCAACCAGATTAACGGCAAGTTATTTTCGCCAAACAGGACTAGAACGGTAACTTCTACCATGGACACAACTTTGGAAATTCTAACAATGCTTAACAGCTAAAGATAAATTACATAGAGCTGACAGGACTTGCAACTATCCTCTTTGTGTATTACTTCAGGTTGCAGAAACCCTAAATGTACTACTATCTGGTTTTAAGTCAAAAGGTAAAAGGTAACTATTTCCTTGGTTTAAAACATGTTAACAAGTAAAAATGAATTGTATTTAGTAAAACCTGCAAGTACAATGGGAAATTTGCTCAAGTAAAGCTTCAGTATCAAGAATGCATTTGCTGAATGAATACATACAGAAAAAGGAAGCTCATTTTATCCAAACAATTCTTGACTCACATCCAAGACACACAAGATGGCAATGCAATATGCTCATGCAGTTAATATTGACCTCTATTTGATTTTCCTGTTGCTGAGAGAGAGTATTTTGTTTCAGTAAACACCCATAGTCTTCGGTTATTAATCTCGCACATTCTAAGAGGTCGATGAGGGTGATGAACCAGACTGTATTTTTATTTTTTTTACTAAATTAGGAAGTTGGCATGCTTAATCTCTATAAAGAAAAGATGCTGTCCCTCAAAGACGAGGCAATTGGTTACATCTTCACTTAGTGCAAGTCTGAACCTGCAGCTCCATTCCTTCATACTGTTCTGGGCCAACACACTATTTTTAAAATGAACCCATCATTCTTGGCAGATAAAAATCATATTTGAGTTGTGCCACTGTACAGTAAAGAAGGCGCTTTTTTTTTTGCATTTTTTTTTGTAACTCCTTTTTTGTTCTACTAAATTATTTTTAAAAGCAGCAGTAACTACTGTACCTGCATCACTGCATTAAAGAAACACGTATTCCCCAGGTTACTAAGTCCTTTAACAGTCACTTCTGAGTTAGTATTTGAAGGAGAATTCTCTTCTTTGAGAGAGACTTCTTTTTCTTGCTCATTTCTGTTGTCTTTTTCTACCTTTTTATTTCCAAAGTCTTTATTCTCTTGCTTTTTTTCTGCTGGAACAAACGAACAAACATATATTAACCCAGAAACAAGGAACGGGATAGGAAAAAGTTGTTACAGGCAGCAGCAATCTATAATGTTTAAAATTTAAACATAATAAAATTAATTCTGTAATTGTATAGCTGCAACACTACTGGTTTAATTTCTTAACTCCTAACACTTAGTCTAAAACAAGCAAACAAACATTTGAAGCCATTCCAGAGCAGCATAGAATTTAAACATGACACTTAGTTCGCAAGCCATTAACGCCAACAATTTCTGAAACTCAGCATGTGTTATTTAAGATTTAATTCTTGTTGCACCATCCTCTATGTTAGGGGTTTCTACAATAACCAATAAGATGACATCTGAGATAATACCCCTCTCGACATGGCCTTATTGTCTGAAATTAAACACGCAGGTTTCCCACTGACAAAGAACTCTGATGAGAGTACATTCATCTAAATAGATGCAACTGGGAGGTCCATGCTCTTCAAGACATTAGATATTTACCCCTTATTAACTTGTTGTACAGCTCAAAAATTCAATGACCTGTTAACAAAACCATAAATGAACTCTAGGTAGTTTTCAGAGTAACACCTGTAGTGGTTCTACCAGTTTAACAGTTTAGCCTTGATAATCTTTCCAATGTACAGGGCTGTGAGCCAAGATTGACTTAAGACAATGTAGTAACAGCTCAGAGAAAACAAGGAGAATGGGCAATGCAATCTTTGCAGATGAACAAGAAAACAGCTGGAAAACCTGAAACACACAACTGCATCCAGGTATTCATCAGCACTCTTGTTCAAATCTAAGAAAAAAAAATATCGTGGCAACCAATTTAAGCTCAAATTTTAAATGTAGAGAAACCACCTCTTTGGTAAAGACTGATGAAACGCACCCAAAGATTCTGATTCCTTGTGGTAAATCAGCTGATTCCTGAAAAAAGTACTCAGAGATGACTACTGAGCATTGTTGGATTACGTGTGATCTGTTTTCCAAAGAGCCTAAATTTTGGTAGCCTTGAGTTAAGGTATTTTGATATGCAAATACTTCCAAGTATTCCAGTGGAAGTGCCTTGTAGAGAGAGTTTTACAGACCACAGCATGCTGTGGAAACTATGGGAGTTGTTTAATGACAATTTAATGTTTTTCCTCAAACCTCAAGAAAGGCTGAGCAATATGGATGAATAAATATGACACTTCTGAATACTGAGAGTCAATTCCTAACTCACTGAACAGACAAATGTCATACTTATTTTTTTTCTCCTCTCATTCCTGTATTTCTGGTTTCTAAAAGATATGGGTACACTAAACAAAGTCCTGGTCAGATTAAGTGGGCTAGGATGTTATGATTTCAGAACTCTGACAAAGAAAAACATAAAGGAATAAATTTGCTTTTTAATGGACCATAAAGTGTTCCAGAAACTAATTATTGTACATTCTTGATTTACAGAACTGTCTGCTGCATTAAAGGGACTTTCTGACTTACTGTGTATATACTATAGTCACTTACCTGAACGTGATGAGTCATGACAAACTTGTTTTTTAACATATTCCACCGTCTGGCCCAACCGTGTTGAAGTACTATATGGAACTTCATTATCACATATGTAGCACCTGTATCAGCCCACCCACCCCCAAAAGAGAAAAACAATTAGTTCTATTTTTTTCTATTACAATTCCTCAACTACTTACTTGTTTGATGAAATTTATTACACAAAGTTATAAAATTACAAGGTTTGTTTTGTGTGTGTGGTTTTCTGTTTTCTTTAAATTTTGAATTCTTACAGAAGTGTTCGATTTACTTCTCATTAAGAAAGTAAGTTAAAAATTATCTTCATTGAACAATTTTAGTGAATGAAAGTGATGACCTGCAAACATAAATTAGACCCTTTAAAGATGTTCTTACAAACCTATGCTACATGTAAAAGTAGCTGGGCAAAGTTTGCCTAAATAAAGAAACTGAGTTATCAGCCCCATAGGAAACTATTTGCCAATTTTATAGCATGGAAAAAAAAATCTGTTTATTCTAGCCAAAGTGTTCACTATATTTAAACTGGAAAAGAGTGCTCCATTAGTCCTGAATGCCTTTTTTAAAGTTTTATTTTGCTCTTTTGTTGCAGATATAAACCTGTTAATCTTTTTACAGAGAAAGAAAACAGATGGTTAGACCACTAATTTGTTTTAAACAAAATTGTGAGAGAAGCTGAGGTAATAAAGGCTTGAGTAAGAGTTAAATTCTGCCAGAACGCATACAGCATAAGGAGAGTTGTATGTACCGATTTTGTAGTTTTGCACAATCAACTCTTTGAAGAGGTCACAAAAGGTTTTGAAGAGAACACAAATACTTCTGCACTTTGAAACACATCAATTACAGTTATTAGGCACAAATGCATTTAGCAGATCTCAGGATTACCTTAAGTCAGACTAGTTTCCGATCTTAAAAACAGCAGAAGTCTGCAGTAAATTGCTTTCCTGTATCTCTAGCATCCTCAGTATTTGCTGAGAATATTCCAGCTTTTTCATGTCTCAATGAGAGAAAAACAAAACAAAACAAAAACTGGCACTACCTGTAGAATCCTTGAGTACGTATTTATTCTTTTTTTTTTTTTTTTTAATAATTAACAAGACTGACATTCTTGCTCCTGGAGTAACATACAATAGTTACTTCCATGGGCAATTTTTAAACAAAATAAATAAAAAAAATAGTTGAAAGTTGAAAGATTAAAAGACTTGAAATTATCAAGAGATTGATAATGATGCCTGTTTGACCAATGGGTGAAAGGCATACTGAAAACGTAGCACTTGTAACCCCAAAATAGCATAACTTAATGAATTACTAGAACTCTCCTCTTTCTTTCCATGCTCAAAACCATTTCTTTAGCAGTTTACAGGTATTATTCAAGTACAATTTCAATCATGTATGCACGCACACTGCAGACATTTACTCATACGTTTGTAGAATTAATAAATTCTGATTAAAACTGCTTTTGCGTACTAATCCCAGGGTGAAATATAGTTCTGGACTGTAGTACTGATTTATAACAATAATTTACACCCCATATACCATCCTGTGAATAACCTCTTGGACAAATCTGTACAAATGAAAAATTGTAGAAGGAAGCAAAATACCTTGCTTAAATAACTTCCTCTCATTCACAAGTAAGTTGATTTAAAAACTAGAGATTTTAGAACTGAGAAAATGAAGTGTTTAGAACCCAGATTTTTAATGCTGATTTAAAAATCACAAAAATAAACTAATTCATTAGCAATATGTATTTCTAGCAATGTCCATTTCTGTTCTAGAGTACAATGGAAACACTAGTCATCACACATATGTGTGATACATTATCTCTTTACTCGATCACGTTATATAAAATGAACAAACGGTAGGTTTAGAAAGAGGTGAATTTAAGCAAAATCAAAACTATGTCAGATACAATATTTCTGCATGGCACCATTTAGAATATTAAGGTTCTCCCTTCCATAATAACACTATTTCTTTTAAGAGAAGGAAATACTACCAGGGAGATAGAATTTATATTGACAGATCCACTGGCACCTTGTAATTCTACAGATGTGCTTCTTAACTATACCTATGGTATGAAGAGGTCATAATTACTGAGGAAAAAAAATGAATCAAGTTTTTCATTAAGCGTGCATCAGGAAAGAGTTTCCCCCGAGGGCAAAAGTCAAGATTTAGAGCGACATAACATGCTTCCATTTGTCAGTAATCTGATCAAGCAAAAGCAGTAAAATACTAAACCAACATTATTTACTACTTGGTCAATTCCAGGTTCAATTATGAAAGTTTTCTAGTTACAATTTTTACAGAAGAGTAATATTTATTCAGCAGATCTTAACAAAGACTGCTGGGATTTTTGTGTGTGGAATGATTTATATACATTTCTAGAGTTAACTCCCAGAAATCACATAGAAAACACAAATTATATCCCAACCTCTGTTGCCTTCTATGTGTTAACTGTTGCCTGACAAACTCACCACACACTCCAGTTGTCCAAACTGAGAACCAAACAATGGGGGTCTGATCTTGGCGTTGTGTAATGCTTTAAAGCATGCTGTTCTGGAGAATTTCTGCCACAGCCCTATAATGTTGATAACCAGAAGTGTCACAAAATCCAGTTGACTATCAATGAAACATATATAGTCAGTGTATAAAGTATTTAAATGAAAACTGTTTAATTATGTTCAATTAATTAGAATAAATAGATGGCTCTATGTCAAGACAGTTATTTCTGCAGAGAGAAAAGTACCTCACTGGGTGCAAAATAACCATAAAGTCGCCTGAGCACTGAAAATCTAATTTACAAATTTCACTTTGAACTGCTTGAAGAATGCAACAGGAAAAAAAAAAAAACAACAACAAAAATAAAACCTCTTCAGCATGCAGTTCTAACTTTAATAAAATAGTGTTAGCACAAGATAATACGGGAAAATAAAAAATTAGGAGCATTAACAGAAATTAATATTTTCTTAGAGAAATAATTTGGACTTTCTAGGAAAGTAAGCCTCAAGACTGTATTTTCGCCTTAAGTCTGCTAAATGCCTTTGTGCCAAGCTTCTAAATACTGCATTTCTAAGTACTTCACTTGCAATTCAGAGCTGACATTTTTCATAACACTAAAGTATATCAAATCATTCATGTAACACCACCTTTAAAATAACAGTAATAAAACAGTTGTAACAGTTTAGCAGTTTTAACTCTGTTGCTCTGCTATATCAGGAGGCACTGGAAAATATGAATAGAAATAACAAGAAAACAAGAGATACCCTGTGGCCACATTTTAGACATAACCATATGGAAGGGCTTTCGTCCGTCTCCTCCTCAGAATTCTCTTGTGTCTTATTGTCTGCCTTGCAGTCCTGGCAAACGTGCCATTCCACGTTCACAAGGGCCTTTTTCAGATGACCTTGTTCCAGTCCTTTACGAATATGCCTGCATGTAGGTTCTACAAAATAAAAAGCACAAGAATGCTCTAGGTATCGTAACAAATGTAGACGTGTCTATGCTTCAAAGACATAAGCTGAAAACCAGAATCTATGATGACCTTTAGCAAAAACACCAGAAAACTTTTCAGAAAAATATTTTGTTCCAACACCTCTGAGGGAGCAACCACAGCCCCCTGCTATGGTTTGCAGTCTCCAAGGCAGCTCCCAGCTACCTACAGAAGTGGAGATTATGTTTCCAGCTGAGCTGTCTCTGTGAAATTATGCTGCAGACTATGGTAGAAAAGAATAGCAGAATCACCCTATCGATATCGCTATCACTTTGCATTACAATCTTACACCCTACTTAGGACTGCATCTTCTGGGCCTGCACCTATTTAAATGAACTCTGCTGAGAATAGATATTTGCTGCTAAGAGAAAATACCAGAAGTTTATTTTTAATTTTCCTTGTTTTCATTTTCTGTTGGTTACACTGACGCTTGAGAATGAAGAAAAGCCATCTGTAAGCTTAAGTCCTATGCTGAGAAATCAAGAGTGACAGACAACAGACACGGCAAGCTGATTGAGGTTCTTCAAAACAACTAATGAGGAACATATTTTAAAGACTTCTGATTTTTTTTTAAATACAGCGTAGGTTTAGATGTTTATTATCAGCAGCCTACCATTCTTCACTATTTGCAGTTACAAATGTCTACATTTCCAAATACAAGGTCAAATATCTGACAGTATGAATAGTTACCTCAAAGTCAAGAAGCGCAGAGTAAAGAAACCCATGCTATTAGGAAAGCATCATGTGTACTTAGTATGTTAAAATCATATTTTTGTCAAACTTTTATTGAGAAGAATTACTTAGTTGTTTATGTATTTCAACAGTCTTAAGCTTTAGGTCTACAGAGGTGTTTTATTGATTAAACAGAGACAGCGTAACAGCTCTGAATCTGTCTTTGTTGAGGACTGTATGTACAACTACAGCCTTGACATGCTAAACTTTTCTTCACGTGAGCTAAAACAAGTGTAAGTTTTGTACCTACAGTTCCGTTTCTGACCAAGCATACAGGATTTTATCTCAGTACAAACACCAGCCGGTAAGAGCCAAATGCAGATATTTAGATGCATTATTTAAGCTGTTAAAAACAAACAAAACCCACAGGCTTCAACTTCAACACTGTTTCTTAAACAAAGGTTTATATCTTGGCTGCTACTCTACAGTGCAGTTACAATACTTTCCATTTCCAGCTTTACAGGACTTTATCAGGGTAAGCTAGCCTGTTATTAGCCAAAGAAGTGATAGGGCATCAGCAGTTGCATCATAACTGATTTTTTTTCTGGAGAAAGATGAGGAACAGTCATAGCAGACCATTTGTCTTTTTGACACAGAAGCTAACACAAGACCAGGACAAAAAGACCTAAGAACAAGATAACATCTGAGTAATAGTTTCCAAGGCCTTATTATTATTTTATAACATACTTACAAAAGCACCAACACTAAAGATTCTTAAAGGACTTCATTTATATGAACCCACACTCTATAACCACATCAAAGCCAGTGAAGCTACCTAGTGTAAAGGTATTCTAATATCAAAGACTTCACAAGCCTTCTTTGAGGTCAGAACAAAGATCTATTTTTTTTTTCCCTGTCGGACTACAAGACTTCTCTGAAGAAACATACCCAACATATCCAGAGACTCATCAGACTGTGCAGTTTTGCCTTTGGTGCGTTTCTTTCCCATATTTGCAGCCCTTGATTTTCTTTAAATAGAAGAAAGACCTAGCAAGGAAAAATACGAAATTGGAAATTACATTTTGGTTTGACTTAATAGTTGCTAAACAATAAATTATTTCCATGGCTGAGATGGCCCTTGAAATGAATTAACTTGTTTGACATTTTCAAAAGAAATTAAGTTAATTATACTTTAACATGAAGCAACTGTAACTGTGGTAGAGACAAGATGCCAGTGTGAATTACAAAAAAAAAAAAAAAAAAAAGTGTTAAGACCTTAAATCAAAAGCAACCACCTTGTTCCTCTTGTGCACTAAGTTATATATCGAAAATCCTATATAATTTTAAGACTAACTAAAAACAGAGGGATTTTAGGAAATGGAATTGGGTTTGTCCTTATTAAATCTTCAAGTTTTTTTCTTGCATTTACAATCTTTCGGTTTTCTTTACTGAAAATTCCTTCAATCTTTTTAAAAGCCTGACGCATGAGAGTACTCTTAACACATTTAAAAATCCAAAACCAATGTGAGTTCCAAATCTTAAGTTTCCTTTTTTTCGGGAAAATTTATCATTGCCTTCCCACCATAACTAGTAAATATGGGGGCTGGTATTTGGTATGACTGTAAACCTTTCTAGACAAGAGTGACATTTGAACAGAGCCCTAGGCCAAGTGATTCCCTTCAAAAACTTGGCTACTACACACACAGCAGGATATTCCACCCCCCCACCTCCACCCTGGTGAGGCCCCACTTGGAGTTCTGCATCCAGGCCTGGGGCCCCCAGCACAAGAAGGATGTGGATCCTATTAGAATGGATCCGGAGGAGGGCCACGAAGATGATCAAAGGGCTGGAGCACCTCTCCTGTGAGGACAGTTTAAGAGAGCTGGGGCTGTTCAGCCTGGAGAAGAGAAAGCTCTGGGGTAACCTTATGGCATGTATAGCGGCCTTCCAGTCTAGCAGCCTCCTCCCTAAAGAAGGCCTACAGGAAAGCTGGGGAGGAGCTCATTGCTATGGAGTACAGCAACAGAATGAAGGGTAATGGTTTTAAACTAAAAAAGGGTAAATTTAGATGAGATATAAGGAAGAAATTCCGTACCATGAGGGTGCTGAGGCACTGGCACAGGCTGCCTGGAGAAGCTGTAGATGCCCCATCCCTAGAGGTGTTCAACACCTGCTTGGATGGGGCTTTGGGCAATCTGGTCTGGTGTGAGGTGTCCCTGCCCATAGCAGGGGGGGTTGGAATGAGATGATCTTTTAGGTCCCTTTCAACCCAAACCATTCTGTGATTTTTATCTTTTAGTCTGCATTTTTTAAGGCTCTGTGGCTTACTTCACAAATATTAAAATTGGCATTTGTAGTACACTGAAAACATGAAACCTAGAAAGGTTCAAAATTGAGTGTGTGCAGTTTTATGCAGCCTTTGCAGACCTGCCTAACTCTGTTCTCCACCCCTCAAGTCAGCTTCATGTAAATGTGTCAGCACGCCACTTAATCTGACTTGTAACATCCATCCTTTCAAAACCACTTCTTACCTTGAACTCAGCACCACACCTGCCCCAGCTGAAAAGCTGCCTGCTCGGAGCTGTCACAGCCAAAAACTGAAGCCAGCCCATGGGGATCAAAGAGCAAGTAAGCCTGTGAGAATTTAGACATAATACCCACAAAGAGCTTTTCGTAGGAAGAACCTTTTAAGAGGCATGCTTTTAGAAGAGGTGACCCAGTTAAATGACAGCCAGGCAGCCACTTCAGTAGAAGTAACACCTTTTACAACTGAGCATTCGATTTGTTTGGAAAGAGAAATGACAGCTCATCCAATAAACTCCCACTACAGCCTGTCATTCCACACAAGCTACAAAACTCAATCTTTTACAAGCAACTCTAAAGCATTAATCATAGAATGGCTTGGGTTGGAAGGGACATTAAAGATCATCCAGTTCCAGCCCCCTGCCATGGGCAGGGACACCTCCCACCAGACCAGGTTGCCCAAAATCCCATCCAGCCTGGTCTTGAACATCTCCAGGGATGGGGCACCCACAGCTTCTCTCGGCAGCCTGTGCCAGGGCCTCACCGCCCTCTGAGTGAATGATTTCCTCCTAACCTCTAATCCAAATCTCCCCTCTTTTAGTTTAAAACCATTCCTCCTTGTCCTGTCATTAACAGATTGATCAGAGCCGCTCTCCATCTCTTTCAAAAGCCCCCTTTAAGTACAGAAAGGTTGCCAAGAGGTCCGCCCGGAGCCTTCTCTCCTGCATGCTGCCCAGCCCCAGCCCCCGGCCCCCCCGAGCAGCGCGGCAGAGCAGCACCAGCACTCGGCGCTGTTCACTTCACCCACGCCGCGTGAGGACAGACCCGTCCGACAGGCTCCTCTCCAGCCTCTTCCACTAAAAACAGCCCACGCAGGGGGCAGCACGGCAGGGCTTTAATTTCGCTCCCAATTCCACGTCCAGCAGCGCGCACCCTGACGCCTCCCCCCCCCCCCCCCCCCCCCCCCCCCCCGCGCTGCCCGGTCCCGCCGCGCAGCCTGCCCCGCCCCGCCCGCTTCCGATTGGCTCCCACCTTCCTCAGCGTCTTAACTGACAGGCGCCGCAGCCAATAGAAAAAGCCGCCCCCCCCCCCCAAGCCGTGAGGCGGCCCGGCCGTGAGCGGAGCGCCGCGGAAGCGAGCCGAGGGGGAGCGGCTGCGCCGGGGGAAGCTCCGCGGGCACGGCCGGGCTCGGCGCCTCCCGCCCCTCACCTGCTGCCGGCGCGGCGGTGCGGGCGGCCGGGCGGCTCATGGCGGCTGGGGGCGGCCCGGCTCCTTCACCTCAGCGCCGGGCAACGGTCACCGGCCGCCGCGCCTACTTCCGGTGCGCTGCATGCTGGGAGCGCGAGGGAACGGCGGGGCGGAGGGGATAGGCGGGGAAAGGGCGGCGCATGCGCGGAGGCGGCGGGTGAAGCGGGGAGGCGGGGCCGTGAGGAGGCGGGGAAAGTGGGCGGAATAGGCGGCGCATGCGCAGTTGCGGGCGGTGAAGCTGCGGCGCCCTGAGCATGGAGGCGGTGCTGGGGGGAGAGGGGGCGGGTTAATGGCGGGGCGTAATGGCGGCGCCCCGGGCTGCCGCCCTGACCCTGAGCCTTGGACGCCCCCCGGTGGGGTTAGGAGTAGGTGCACGGTGAGCTCCTTCCCATGGTAAAGCCGCTCTTCTCTCCCCCTGCTTTCTTTCTCGCTTAGGAAGCCGCAGGAATGGCCAGCCGCGAGGAAGCCGAGGTGCAGGTGTCGGAGCTGGAGCTGCTCTCCAGCATGTTTCCCCGCCGGGAGGAGTTCCTCGTCACCGACCCGCTGGCTCTGGCAGAGCTGCAGCTCGCCGCCGCAAGCGAGGCCGCGGAGATGCCCTCCTCGAAAGTCCAGTTCACCCTCAACGTAAAGCCCGAGGGCCCCGGTGCCTCGATGGTATCGTAAAGATGTTCGTCTGGGTGCTTTGGGGGTTGGGTTTTTAATTCTCATCCTAAAAATAATATTGGGGCGTTTTAGGGTTTCCTCCAACTTAACATTTCATCGTTTTTAGGCGGAATTCTCTATGGTCTGTGCTTTACCGTTTAAATATCCAACTGTTCCACCAGAAATTACAGTGAGGTATGTTATGAAAATATACAGATATAATACCCAAATCAGTCTTTTTTTGGTTAGTTTGCTGTTAAATTAAGCCAGAAGGACAATGATGCTGAAAAAAACCCTACAAGGATATGATTTCTTCAGTTGCTTCAGAAATAACTGAGAAAAAAGTGAAAAGCGAAGAGTGCCATCTTCTGTACAAAGGGGTCAGATGTAGCTGTTGTTCCTAGGTTTGATGCTCAAGAAGTCTGGTGTCAATTCTGACAAGGCTTAACGCTACTTAAAAGAGTAACAGGTTACCCAGTGGTCTTATTCTTCCCTGGTCAAAATGCTGTTACTCTCTGGCTATTTTTCAGGGAACTTTTCTTTTTAAAGAGGTACTTTCTATCATTCTACATTATATAAAGTTAGTTCAGTCACCAGGCTTACTTCTTATGTACCTTTGTCTTGATTCTCATGTACAGATTGGTAGTACTATATGTGTACTCACAAGGTAGCACAATGAATGTTATTTATGATCTTTTCGTAGCTAATTTGACTTAAGTATCAACAGTAAGTGGATGTGGCCTGATTTTTTTTTTTTGGCAGCTTGAAGTAAACTGTTTGAATAACACAATAAATCATAAGCATATTACAACTACATTTTTTCTTTTCTTTTTTTTTTAGGTCACCATTATTAAGCCGCTCGCAGCAGATTCAGCTGAACTCAGATCTAAAAACATATTTAATGCAAAACTGCAGTGGTGAGCCTTGCATGTTGAGTGCAAGAGAATGGGTTAAAGACCATGCATCTGCTTACGTTGACAGAGAGCTTTCATCCTCCTCAGTGACGACATCAAATGCCTCGCAGTCAGAGGATGTCATTTTCACTAGATTGTGGATCTACAGTCACCACATTTACAACAAGCAAAAAAGAAAGAATATTATTGAATGGGCGAAGGAGCTCTCTCTGTCAGGGTTTTCTATGCCAGGGAAACCAGGAGTTGTTTGTGTAGAAGGTCTACAAAGTAACTGTGACGAGTTCTGGTCAAGGTTAGTTTTCCTTTACACTTAAATGCCATTAGTAGTTTAATGATGTGTTTTTATGTGTTGTGTATGTGGCCAGAAGGTGGGATGCTCAACCACCTTCCAGCCTTTAAAGGTCTGCAAAGAAGGTTTTTTTTAATCATAATGGTTTTGCAACTCAGAATAGCCACTGTACTGTTCGATACAGCAGTCAGAGTTACTAATTCTTGCACATTTATTTCTGTTCTATCTTCCTCTTTATGTCAGTGGTATAGCCATGGACTACAGTAACCCAAGCTTGTTGGATATTTATGTGTTTATATTGCCTTACATTCATATCTTATTCTACTCACATCATTTATGTTTCTATGTGGTGGAAACTAACTAAGCATTACTGTTTGATTGTAACAGCTAAGAGAGTGTGACAATGCATGATGAGAACATGAGAATTAGTACAGGCAAGGCAGAAATGAAGAATGAAATTGAAATTGTATCTTCATCAATTATTTTGTGATGAAAAGCATTAATGTTTTTGACAGAGATAAAATGAAACAAGCTGCTGCTTATGGGAATATTTGGAATGTGGGTAGCATTCCTGTGACCAGCTAGGGAAAAATTATTTCTGTCCAGAAATTTGTGTACAAATAAAATGTATTGATTTTGTGATAATAGCTATTTCATAGTATTTGCTAAAACAGTCTGTTTTATGGATAGATTTATAGTTCTCTGCTTGCTTTCAGAGTAAGAAGACTAACGTGGAAAAGAATACTAATTCGGCACAGAGAAGATGTTTCCTTGGAAGGTGGAGGACATGCTGAGATCCAGAAGCAAAGAAAGTTTTCCACTTTGGAAGAAAAATGTTTTGATGCGCATGGTCCCAGAGGAAATCATATGGATTTGGGGCAGCTATATCAATTTTTAGAACAAAAAGGATGTGCAGACATTTTTCAAATGTACTTTGGGGTTGAAGGGCATTAGGTTACCATAGGTGCAAGTGACTACATTTCTAAGTTAATCCTCATAACAGATTCCTTAGCTGTTCTGCAGCTGTTGATCAGAGAAGGAATTGATTATCTTTGCTTGATATGACGAATCCAGTTTTCTACGAAAACAAATATTCAGTTCAATCTGAGTAATGAAAGTGACTGAATGAATGCTTTATTGCAAGGCCTGATTTTAAAGGAATTTAGGGGACGTAGCTAATTACAAGGAATGAAAATAAGTTTGATAACCTGCTGGGCAGAGCTACAGAACATGGGGTTTTAGGGAATGAGTAAATGAATAGGAATTGAGAAAAATGAAGTGTGGACATCTGAGGAGAGGAAATGTGATGTTTACATGACATGTTTACATACACTATATGAAGACTTTGATAACAATCTTTTATTGTTCTTTCTATATTAAGTGATGAGGTTAATACGTTTTATATAAAAATGAAACAGGAGCACCTCATTCATGCAAATAGGATGCGGTAGGACGCCTTCTCTAAGTGAGGCACGAGACTTTTTTGTAGGTGAGCGTGTGTATGGGTGAGGGATGCTGCCGTGTCCCCACTACCTCTATCTGCTCATGGGGGGGGGGGGGCTCCCTGGAGGTGCCCTCCAGCATAATAAAGAGTACCCCGCTGCGTTCAGCATCGTGCTGTGTTATTGTTTTTGTCCCGGTCTCAACACCCCCGTGTGCGATATCCGCCGGTACCTCAGGCAGTCCCGCCCCGCCCGTGACGCGGCGCCGCTCCCCGCCCCGCGCCGACGGAAGCGCCGGCGCCATCATGGGGGGCAAGAACAAGCAGCGCACCAAGGGCAACCTGCGGGTGAGCGCCGCGACATGGCGGCACCGGGGGCGGGACCCGGCCTCAGGGGTGCCCTCGGGCCGGGCCGGGCCCCCGGGGGGGCTGCAGCCGCCCTGGGGGAGCCGCTCCGTAGTGGGGGAGAGAGGGGCGTCCTCGGTGCTGGGGCTTCCCCCGCGGTTAAAGTGGGTTAAAAAAGAAAAAAAAAAGGGCACGTAGTCAGCTGGGAATGTGGCTTACGTGCCTAGAGGAAGTGGGAACATGCGGTGAGCTTCGGCAAGTTGGTGTTAATTAACAAAAATGTCGGATCTGTGGCCGTCACTGAGAATTTAGTGGGTGTTTGGGGCGTAAGGAATGACAGAGAACCGTAAGGCGTCGTTCAGTCCCAGGACAGACTTCCAAAGAGGCCACTCGTATGATGAGCAAGGAGTTGTTGAACTGGGACAAACTGTGTTAAATGTTGAATTTCAAAGCACTCCCTGTGATGATGATGGGTTGTAATATGCTGTGTGTGTTACACACATACCCTTTTGCTCCATTCCTCTGAATTCTTCGTGGCCCTTCAGAATCATGAGGGTTGGAAAAGACCTCCAAGATCATCTGCTCCAACCACCCCCATACTACTACTGCAGCTCGCTTTGTATCATGCTTTGAAGCATGTTGTAATTGTCCCCTGTGACAACTTGAGCATACTTGGGAGCTGTATTGCAGTATGCAATAACACTAAGTAGCTTCAAAGTAACAAAAAAGTAACAAAAGTAGCTTCTCATAAAGTATTTGTGTGTTAAAGTCACGACAAAAAAATGGAATGCTGATTCTACAGAGAAAACTAATTTTCTAGGTTAAACTTCTATCTTTAAAGTATGGATGGCCTTTTTTGGGAAACTGTTTTAAATAGGTAGTTAATTACGTTACGTAATGATTTACATTATATATTCACTAATCATTATTTTGAATGTCTGATGCACACAAAATTAGATAAAGTGACTGACATGTATAACTGACGTATGTTCCTGTTTTTTGTCAGCCTTCTAGCAGTGGCCGAGCTGCGGAGCTCCTCGCTAAAGAACGTGGAACAGTGCCTGGGTTTATTGGCTTTGGAACATCTCAGAGTGATCTCGGATATGTGCCTGCAGTTCAAGGAGCAGAGGAAATAGACAGCCTGGTGGATGCTGATTTTCGAATGGTGTTGCGAAAACTCTCTAAAAGAGATGTCATAACAAAATTAAAAGTGGGTGTATTCTTTGTCCCCCATAAAAAAGTATCTGTGTTGGAAGAGCATTCCTTTTTTCTGAAGTATGGCAAAGGAATCTACCATGGTAGCTAGTTGTATGTTTGTACCAGTAAATTTACTAGAGTTGCAGTACAGAAGGTACCTTGAAGGACTTAAAAGGTCTGTCAGGCACTGCTGACAGAGCATTCATAAAATTAACTCTATGGATAACCAATTGCCAGAAATTAATTGATTTTGGAAAATAACAGGCAGTGTCTAGTAGAAGCTGGTAA